GTGAGCCGGGTGAGGTGCGGCCGCTGGGCCCCAGGTCTGGAGGGCACTGGGCTGAGCGGGGGCGCCTGGGCCGGCGTCGGGTCACTGATGGGTGGGCCGGGGGCGGACAGTACCGGTTCCCGGTGTTGGGTGCATGCGGAGGCTCTGCGGGTCAGAAGTGGAGGGAGGCGAGCGTATGGGGCGGCAGTGAGTGGGGAGGGGCCGTTTTGCCGGCTTGGGGAAGCCCGCAGGCCCTCTTTCGTCCGGGGGTGGGTGGTCCGTCACTCTGCGTGGGAGGGGTCGGTCACTGGCTTGCTATCAGTTTAACCATTAAGCTTTTAAAGATTTCGTCAACCAGGAGAGGGTGATAGGGGATATTTCTTTGGAGTAAAACAGGTTCTTCACAGTGTTCCCTGCATGAAAAAATTCTCTCCCCATCCTTCCCCCTTGTATTCCTCTATTCAGTCTTGGCTGCCACAGACAGACAGAAAGCTGAAGACTTCTTTCTCACAACTGTAGCGGAAACCTTAGCAGCAGACAGCAACTGCTACAGGTCTGTCAAATAGATGCATTCTATTGGGTTTTTATGGGTCTTGGCTGTTTCCTTTCAGATTGACTTTTAGAAGGTGGTGGTGCCTAACCCACATGACACAAGCGTCCCTTGATGTTTGCGGCTGTGATTCCAAGTCAGGTCAGATTGAAGGGCTGGGACCCATGGCTGAACGGAAAGAATTTATTGTGTAAGTGTGTGCTTACATCGAATCCAGTGGTAAAGGTGACTTGATTGCTGGGACACTTATCCTTCCTGCAGCCTGGCTTCCCCCAGTTCAGCTCAATTTTTATCGACAGAGTTTTTTTTTTTTTAAGGGCTTTTCTACTTGAAAAATAAATGTACAAAACTTTCGGCAACAGCTGGTGTGGCATCGGGAACATTGGCCTGAAGTAATTTCTGACTTCTCCCATTTACTTTTGGACAGTCCACTCACGATTTGTGGGTCTCATGTTTTTCTTTTGAAAATGAGGGAGTGAAAAGAAATTATTTTCCTTCTCCTTTACCTCTCTGATGCTTTTTGAGGTCATTAAAATATACTTTATTTTATTTATTATAAACCATGTGGTGCTGGACTGAAACTGCTTTGCTTGCCTGTTGTTTTCTTGGATTAAGGACTTTCACATAAAAAAAAAAGGGCCGAGCCCGTGGCGCACTTGGGAGAGTGGGGCGCTCCCGCCGCGGTTCGCGGTTCGGATCCTACACTGGCTGAGCGCGGTGCTGCCGGTCTCAAAAAGGACCAAAAAGAAAAAATAATAATAATAATAATAATATGTGGGCTGGCTGGTTAGCTCAGTTTATTAGAGTGTGGTGCCCATAACATCAATGTCTAAGGTTGATCCCTGTATGGACCAGCCACCAAAAAAAGAAAAAGTATACTATTTTCTGTTATGAGAAATTTTAAATATGTAGTCAGTTTGGAGCATCTTGATGAACAGACTAAAATAAAAATTATTCATGATCCCATTGACAGGAGATAATTACTGCTAGCATTTTGGTGCATTTCTTTTAGTGAGTAAATGCGTGTAAGTGTTTAATGCATCTTATGTATTTATATTTCCTTCAAAAAAGCAAAATTGGGAACATGCTGCTTATGTTCCTTAAAGCTGTTGCAATGTATCATTAATATCTTTTTTAACTTGAAATATTTTGTCCCAAGTGGGGAGTGTAAACTTAACTGGAGTTTTTTTTTAACTGGCCCACCATAACTTATCTTTCTTTTGTGTTTATTTTTAGTCTGTTTTGGTAATATCAGTTCTGGGTAAGAGACTGTAGGTTCTGTACTGGGAATATAAACAGGGACACTGGAGGCCTTTGCCCACTCCACCCTCCAGTATTGCAGAGGGGTTGTGTGTGGTCACAGGTTGTGGGATGGACTGCATGGGTCCAGTGGCCCAGATCTGCCACTTCCTGACTTTGTCATAGATGCTGGGCAAGTTGCTGAACCTCTGTGCCTGCCTAATCGCTATTTTTGTACTGGTATGTTAAAAAAAAAAAAAGACCATATGGTTGTATAAAACATCTGGCACATAGTAAATGCAAATAAAAGTTATTTTTTTATTTTCTGCGTTTCCCTGAAATTCCCTTAGAACTTGATGAGTAGAACTGCGGGATGATGATGAAGGTTGTCCATCCCTTCTGAAGATAAATGTGAGAGCTGTCACAAGAGAGCTGCAGTGTTATGCAGGAAACTGCCAAGGTACGAAACAAAAAACAAGAAACCACAACCAATGAAGTGAAAATGGGCCAAATTGTACAGTGAAGGGCTTATTTGCTAAAAGTACATGTGAGAGCCGAATGTATGAGAATAAGTTTAGGGGTAGCTTCTCCCTTAAAGGCAAACTTTCAAAAACATTTGTTTGAATTAGTGAAGTTAGGTGTAGAGTGTGAATTTGTTCTTAGTAACAAATTTAAATATCATCAGAAATATTTTAATACTACACTGATTGCTTATCACATCACTTTCACCTAAAATTCTCAACCCTTTATATGCGCTAAATCTGTGTCATCTCCATGAAGATCTTTCTACTTATAAGTTCTCACTGCAACCTAGTTAAACTTCATCAATTAGTCTTTGACAAGATTATAAAGGAAATTTTAAAATTACATTGTGAATTTGGCTTTCTGTTTATGGGAATGGTTTCACATCAACATTCTTCACAATGTCAAAATTTTTATTATGTGAAATGAAATTAAGTAAAAGCATGATGCAAAGGAAATGACATATTTATTTGTGTGTATATGCATCTGTGTGTGCATGTGATGATTTTTTTTTATCAGAGGTTTTACTTTTTTTAATGGTTTAACTTATTGACTGTTTTTTTAAAAGNTCGGATCCTACACTGGCTGAGCGCGGTGCTGCCGGTCTCAAAAAGGACCAAAAAGAAAAAAAAAAAATAATAATAATAATATGTGGGCTGGCTGGTTAGCTCAGTTTATTAGAGTGTGGTGCCCATAACATCAATGTCTAAGGTTGATCCCTGTATGGACCAGCCACCAAAAAAAGAAAAAGTATACTATTTTCTGTTATGAGAAATTTTAAATATGTAGTCAGTTTGGAGCATCTTGATGAACAGACTAAAATAAAAATTATTCATGATCCCATTGACAGGAGATAATTACTGCTAGCATTTTGGTGCATTTCTTTTAGTGAGTAAATGCGTGTAAGTGTTTAATGCATCTTATGTATTTATATTTCCTTCAAAAAAGCAAAATTGGGAACATGCTGCTTATGTTCCTTAAAGCTGTTGCAATGTATCATTAATATCTTTTTTAACTTGAAATATTTTGTCCCAAGTGGGGAGTTTAAACTTAACTGGAGTTTTTTTTTAACTGGCCCACCATAACTTATCTTTCTTTTGTGTTTATTTTTAGTCTGTTTTGGTAATATCAGTTCTGGGTAAGAGACTGTAGGTTCTGTACTGGGAATATAAACAGGGACACTGGAGGCCTTTGCCCACTCCACCCTCCAGTATTGCAGAGGGGTTGTGTGTGGTCACAGGTTGTGGGATGGACTGCATGGGTCCAGTGGCCCAGATCTGCCACTTCCTGACTTTGTCATAGATGCTGGGCAAGTTGCTGAACCTCTGTGCCTGCCTAATCGCTATTTTTGTACTGGTATGTTAAAAAAAAAAAAAGACCATATGGTTGTATAAAACATCTGGCACATAGTAAATGCAAATAAAAGTTATTTTTTTATTTTCTGCGTTTCCCTGAAATTCCCTTAGAACTTGATGAGTAGAACTGCGGGATGATGATGAAGGTTGTCCATCCCTTCTGAAGATAAATGTGAGAGCTGTCACAAGAGAGCTGCAGTGTTATGCAGGAAACTGCCAAGGTACGAAACGAAAAACAAGAAACCACAACCAATGAAGTGAAAATGGGCCAAATTGTACAGTGAAGGGCTTATTTGCTAAAAGTACATGTGAGAGCCGAATGTATGAGAATAAGTTTAGGGGTAGCTTCTCCCTTAAAGGCAAACTTTCAAAAACATTTGTTTGAATTAGTGAAGTTAGGTGTAGAGTGTGAATTTGTTCTTAGTAACAAATTTAAATATCATCAGAAATATTTTAATACTACACTGATTGCTTATCACATCACTTTCACCTAAAATTCTCAACCCTTTATATGCGCTAAATCTGTGTCATCTCCATGAAGATCTTTCTACTTATAAGTTCTCACTGCAACCTAGTTAAACTTCATCAATTAGTCTTTGACAAGATTATAAAGGAAATTTTAAAATTACATTGTGAATTTGGCTTTCTGTTTATGGGAATGGTTTCACATCAACATTCTTCACAATGTCAAAATTTTTATTATGTGAAATGAAATTAAGTAAAAGCATGATGCAAAGGAAATGACATATTTATTTGTGTGTATATGCATCTGTGTGTGCATGTGATGATCAATGTCAAAATTTTTATTATGTGAAATGAAATTAAGTAAAAGCATGATGCAAAGGAAATGATATATTTATTTGTGTGTATATGCATCTGTGTGTGCATGTGATGATTTTTTTTTATCAGAGGTTTTACTTTTTTTAATGGTTTAACTTATTGACTGTTTTTTTAAAAGTTTTATAGCTTTTGCCTTTTGTATCATACATGGGGAGATCTTTCCCCAACTTATACAAATATTTTCCTGTGTTTTATTCAGGAATTTTTGTGGTTTTCATTATTTTAAATTCTGATTTAGGCAGTCCAAGTGCAGTAGTGTTTACAGTTAATTGATCACAACCAGTTACAGATTTCTTTGTTCCTTCTTCACTCCCACTGCTTCATTTGACTAGCCATAAAAAATAAATGAATAAATAAAAATAAATTCTAATTTATCTGGAAGTAGTTTGTTGTAATGTATAAAATAGATAGCTATCTTTATTTTCTTTCAAATGTTAATCAGTTCTATTAAATAATCCAGTTTTACTCATGGTTTTAAAATGCTGCATTTATTACATGTTAAATTCTTATGTATTTGGACAGTTATGTTTTATTCTTCCGTGTATCTTTTCTGTAGCCAGTGTCAATTGTTCTGTAATATGCGTTATTACATTGGGCCTGTTCACACTCATTATTTTATATTTCCAAAAGTGTCCAGGCTGTTTCTGAACCTTTTCTCTTACAGATGAACATCAGATTTGCTGGTTAAAGAAAAACTTTTTGATTCAAGCCTGCTCAGAAGCAGGGGAAAAAAAGAAGCTTTTTGAGATTATGATTGGAGTTGATTTAAATAATTTGGGGTCAGATTATCTTTACAATGTGAGATCTTCTTATCTCAGAACAAGGTCAAATTATACATTTATGAAATTCTATTTTTATAGTCCTCATTGGTGTTTTTAGTTTGTTTCATATGGATCTTGAATATTTCTTATCAAGTATATTCCTGCATATTTTATGGGTTTTTTTCCTATTATGAGTAGGATTTTTCTACTTTTGCATTGTTTTGTATAAGAAAGCTGTTGATATTATAGAAACAAATTTATTGATCTGGAAAGATGTTCTGGAAAAAACAAAAATTGTTAAATGTGACCATATGTTTCTGTTTTGTTAAAAATATCAGCATAGTTTTCACCATCTCTTAAGAATGGTTACCTGTGGTATGGTGAGATCATAGATAATAGTTACTTCCTTTTTAGCTTGTATACGTTTTAAAATTTTGCCATTATATTTTACATTTGTGATAATTATGGCTAATATTTGTTTAGTGATGACTGTGTGCCAGCTACTGTTCTAAGATGCATATATTATCCCGATTTAGGGTATAAAGGAATCATTTCTTATAAAATTGGGAGGAACCCCACTTTGTGTTTTTGAGTTGTCACTGAACTTTGAATCACAAAAAGGCATGAAAGGGAAGTTTGGTTTTTTATGTGCTGCTTTTTAGTATGATACGGGGGTGAGTCAGGCTGTTCTTTGTGTTTTTGTGGGAATAAGTGATGGCATATGTGCTTGGAAATAAGAGCTAATTCAAGGATTTATGTTGTGCATGTGTATGTACATAAACATACACAAACGACATTATGATTTTTTGTAGTAAATGTCTTGAACATAGCAGGAAAGAGAAATAACATTCCAATTCTGCCGTGTAACAGCTGTGCAATCATGGGCACACTCTACATCAGTCTGCATCTCAGTTTTTTCTCTGTAAAATGGAGATTATGCTAAATGCCTTATAGGGTTGTCTGTAAGGATTAAATTGTAAAATGCTTTGTTTTGTTGTCTTATATATAGAAAGCACTCATATGTTAGCTGTTATCATGAGGCGTCAGTCACTTTCCTTTTAGAATCTCATTTGTTCCTCAGAATCCCACTGGTAGGTCCACTTTGTGTGTGTGTGTGTGTGTGTGTGTGTGCGCGCGCGTGCGTATGACTGGCAATATGGGGATCTGAATCCATGACCTTGGGGTTGTAAGGCTATGCTTTAACCAACTGAGCTAACTGGCCAGCCTAGGGAGTTCCACTTTATCCTCACCGTTTTAGCAAATAGAGAAATAGAGGCTCAGAAGGCAAGGAAGGAGGGGAAAAAAGAAGCAATAATAAGTGTAAGAACCACAGTAAATGTAAGTGTATTGAATTGCTCAGTTAAAAGATTATTGGCTTGGGTTTTTTAAAAAATACAACAAATTTGAGCTCTCAGCTGCTTATAAGAGACAAAACATGATACTGAAATTTTAAATGTAGTTAGATGGAGGATGACATACCCAGCAAATACTAACGGAGTGGTATGTTGCCAACTTCTTCTAAAGTAAAATAGATTTTAAGGCAAAAAGCGTTATTTGGGGTATGGAGTATCATTACATAATGATTAAAGAAATAATTTTCCAGAAATGTACAACCTCTGTGCATCAAACAGCATAGCCTTATCCAAATATCAATAGAATTACAAGGAAAAACTGACCAATCTATAATCATATCAAGATATGTTAACATCCTTCAGAAATTGACAGAATTGGCAGACAAAAATAAGGATATAGAAGATTTTTTTTTTTTTTTTTGGAGACCGGCAGCACCGCGCTCAGCCAGTGAGCGCACTGGCCATCTCTATATAGGATCCGAACCCGCTGCGGGAGTGCTGCTGCGATCCCAAGCGCCGCACTCTCCCGAGAGCGCCATGGGCTCGGCCCAGGATATAGAAGATTTTTTTTTTTTTTTTTGGAGACCGGCAGCACCGCGCTCAGCCAGTGAGCGCACTGGCCATCTCTATATAGGATCCGAACCCGCTGCGGGAGTGCTGCTGCGATCCCAAGCGCCGCACTCTCCTGAGAGCGCCATGGGCTCGGCCCAGGATATAGAAGATTTTAATAGGAAACTAAAACTCAGAAAGATGAAGTTTGTTTTCGCCAAAAGTCACATAGCCAGTGAAGGATAAAAGTTGATTAAAACTCAAATTTAAATCAGATATTAAAACACTACAAAATCATATAAGCTTTGAAAAATTCCATCTGCTAAAAAGGAGTTGTCTTTTTTTCACAGCACCTATTAAAGTGATTTATATTTCATTGTCCACAGTAATTATTGAATGAATCTTAGGATTATTTTATTTATATTTTCTTATCTGTTTGCAGAGACATAAGCTTTTACTGTTCTATTTTACTATATCGTGTTTTTATCCCTGAGAGCCCTGTTTCAGTTATGTAGCAAACACACTCTGACCTTAGATGATCATGAATTCCTAGTTCCTAGCAAGAGAGGAAAAGATCTCAGGCACGATGAGAACATACCAGTTGATGTGCATTTGTCCCTAAGTCCACAGATCCTGGTTCCCCACAAGTAAGCCTTCTCATGTGATATAAGGAAGGAGTTCCTGGAACCAGGAATTCATTCTCATTGTAGAAGACCTAGCCGAGACTTCACTCCAGAGCTTTGGGGCAGAGGCAGAAGAGACACAGTAGAACAGATCTCAGTCTTGCTAATCATCTTGCACTGGCAACGGAAAATGACCACATTACAGGTGAGTTGCTTGTTTATTCCTCATAATTTTTTCAGGGGATTAGAAGAGATGTATAAGTCTTCCATTGAAAAAGAAAAGTATAAATAGTTAAGAAATCAGGGAAAAATATCCTCAGAATAGAAGATCAGGATTGGGCAAAATTGGAGCAGTGATATATTAACTTATAAAACTTTGAAAAGTACTTAAGGTTTGAATATTTATAAGCCATAGAGTCCTACATAATTATTGAATTTGAGCTACAAACTTCGATCTCAAATTTTTAACAGTTGGGCCGGCCTGGTGGCGCACTGCTACAGTGCGCCGCTTAGGAGTGCGGCAGCGCTCCCGCCGAGGGTTCGGATCCCACATACAGACCGGTTCCCGCTCACTGGCTGAGCGAGGGGCGGGCGCAGCACCGAGGGTTGCGATCCCGTTGCCGGTCCCGGTCCGGTACGGGCGCGACACTGAGGGTTGCGATCCATTGCCGGACACACAAAAAGACAAAAAAAAAAAAAAATTTAACAGTTGTAATGAAGAAATACATATGTTTAGATAAATTACATAGTTCAAAGGAAAAAGCAAACTGATTCCTCATAGGAAGAAAATATTTCTTGGTCATTAGGTGTCTGTTTTTTTCCTTGGTGAAGCCTTTAAATAAATGGTATACAGTAGTCCCCCTTATCTGCGTTTTCACTTTCTGTGGTTTCAGTTACCCATAGTCAACTGCAATCTGAAAATATTAAATGGAAAATTCCAGAAATCAACAATTCATAAGTTTTAAATTGTGCACTGTTCTGAGTAGCATGATGAAATCTTGAGCTGTCCTGCTTTGTTCCTTCCAGGACGTGAATCATCCCATATCCACACTGTATATGCTACCTGTCTGTTAAGTCACTTACTAGCCATCTGGGTTATCAGATCAGATTATCAGATTTACTGTTGTGGTATCACAGTGCTGTGTTCAATGTGGCCTCAAAGTGCAAGAGTAGTGATGCTGGTAATTTGGATATTACTTAATAGTGGCCTCAAAGTGCAAGAGGAGTGATGCTGGTAATTTGGATATGTCAAAGAGAAGCCATAAAGTGCTTCCTTTAAATGAAAAGGTGAAAGTTCTCAGTAAGGAAAGAAAAAAAATCATATGCTGAGGTTGCTAAGATCTGAAGTAAGAATGAATCATCCATCATGAAATTGTGAAGAAGGGAAAAGAAATTCATGCTAGTTTTGCTGACGCACCTCAAACTGCAAAAGTTACGGCTACAGTGTGTGATAACTTTTATTACAGTATATTGTTATAATTATTCTATTTTATTACTGTTAATCTTTTAGTGTGTCTAATTTATAAATTAAACTTTATTATAGATATGTATGTATAGGAGAAACATAGTATATATAGAGTTAAGTGTTATCCATGGTTTTGGGCATCCACTGAGAGTCTTGGAATGTATCTCTTGTGCATACAAAGGGGACTACTATAGTGGCTCATGTCCTCAAGAGAAACATCATATAATAAACCCATGGATCTTATGGCTGTTTTTCATAGTATTTCTCAAGAGTATGACCGAAGGGTAGATTGCCAAAGCAGGACCTAGTGACCGTTATTATTTATTCATTTACCTTTTTAAAATGTAAAGTCTAATTCATTCACATGCAGAAAAGTACATAAAAAATAAAAATACAGTTTAATGAATTATTATCAACTGAATATGCATGAACCTACCACTCAGGTCAAGAAATAGAACATTCCCATCCCAAATGAGGGCCCTTCACGTGCCCTCTCCCAGTCACAACCTTTTCTTCCTGACAAAGGTAACCAGGATCCTGACTTTTTTTTTGTAGCTTTTCCTTTCTTTTCTTTATAGTTTTACTCCTAACTTTCAATCCTTAAATGCTATAGTTTGGTTTTGTCTGTTGTGATATATACTCATTTGTGTCTTACTTCTTTAACTTAACATTTTGTTTGTGAGATTTATTGCAATTGCAACCTTCCCCCCAAATTAAGATAGCTTCTTAATGTCACCAAATCTAGTCAGTGTTCAAATTTCAGTGGTTTCGTAAAATTCCTAAGTTGTTTGCAGTCTGAGTCAGAATCCGAATAAAATTCATACAGTGCAATTGGTTGATCAGTCTTGTACATCTCTTAATCTCTTGGCTCTTCCTATTTTTTTCTAGCCAAACAATTTGTTGAAGAAGTTTCCACTGTCTGGATTTTGCTAATTGCATCCCCATGGTGTTAATATGTTCTTTGTCACCTGTATTTGCTATAAATTGGTAGGTTTAGAGTTGTGCTGTCCAGTACGGAAGCCACTGGCCACATAAGACTATTTACATTTTTCTTTTTTTCCTTTTCGTCTTTTTTTCGTGACTGGTAACGGGATCGCAACCCTCGGTGTCGCGCCCGCACCGTGCTCAACCAGTGAGCGGACCGGTCTCTATATGGGATCTGAACCCTCGGTGGGAGCGCCGCCCCCCGCCGCGCTCCCAAGTGCTGCACTCTACCGAGTGTGCCACCGGCCGGCCCAAGACTATTTACATTTAAATTAATTAAAATTAAATCCCTCTATCACACTAGCCATATTTCAAGTGCTCAGTAGCTACAAATTGGACTACAGTGATTTGGATAGCACAGATAAATCATATTTCCATCATCACAGAAAGTTCTGTTGGACAGATCTGATCTAGAGGCTTGATCAGATTCATGTTTGATTTTTTTAGCAAGAATACTTCAGAGGTTGTGTATGTGCTTCTTTCAGGGGGCACGTAATGTCTGCTTATCTCTCTTTTTGTCATGTTAGCAGCTTTTTGTGATCATTCCCTGGATGGATTATTTCATTGGAAGCTTCAGAATGGTGATATACTACTTCTGTCATTTCTTCTGTATTTATTAGCTGCAATCCTGCTTTGTAACATGACAAAATATATCAAGGCACGGGCCGGCCCGGTGGCACACTGCTACAGTGCGCCGCTTGGGAGTGCGGCGGCGCTCCCGCCGAGGGTTCAGATCCCACTTACAGACCGGCCGCTCACTGGCTGAGCGAGGTGCAGGCACAACGCCGAGGGTTACGATCCCGTTGCCGGTCCTGGTCCGGTACGGGCGCGACACTGAGGGTTGCGATCCATTGCTGGTCACGAAAAAAGACAAAAAGGAAAAAAATATATATCAAGGCACAGTTTTTACATTTTCTACCCCAGATCTACAGTTAGCCATTACTACAGTAAATGATACTTAATATTTTTTTAATTAAAAAATTTTTGTTGCCCAACATGGAAATACACTAGATTTTTGCATATGGACTTTATATTCCAGGAACAACTTAATACTCACTTATTAATTCTAGTAGTATTTCTTTAGATTTGATTAGCTTTTCCATATTCACAAAAATATCAGCAATAATATATATATATATTTTTTCCTTTTTGTCTTTTTTTCGTGACTGGTAATGGGATCGCAACCCTCGGTGTCGCGCCCGTACCGCAACCGGCAACGGGATCGCAACCCTTGGTGTCGCGCCCACACCGCGCTCAACCAGTGAGTGGACTGGTCTCTATATGGGATCCGAACCCTTGGCGGGAGCGCCACCGCGCTCCCAAGCGCCGCACTCTACCAAGTGCACCACCAGGCCGGCCCAGCAATAATATTTTTTGACAAAAATAAATTCCATGGAATTCCTGGTTTGCCAGGAGGTTTATAAAAAAATAGACGTTGATTATTTTTCAGTTTTTAGTGTGTTAATTTGTTCTTTTTTCTGTCTGCTTGTGTTTCTTCATACTTTTATATGCCTTCCTTGTGAAGTCTAGGCCTACCTACCTTTTGAAAAAAATTTTTTTTTGGTGGCTGGGCACTACAGAGATCTGAATCCTTGACCTTGATGTTATTAGGCCACGTGCTAACCAACTGAGCTTTTTGAAAATTTTAAATGTGCTTTTTAAAAACTCTGAATTAGATTTTTCTATTATTTGTAGGTCTTGTGATGTGCTTTCTTCTATTTGTAAATCTTGAATTTTATCAGATGTGTTATCTGTATCTGTTGAGGTGGTTACGTATTTTTTTTCCTCTTAAATCTGTTAAAATAGGGAATGTCATTGATTTTTTAAAATGTTAAACCAGGGATGGCTGGTTAGGTCAGTTGGTTAGAGCATGGTGCTAATAATACCAAGGTCTGTGATTTGATCTCTGTACTGGCCAGCCACCAAACAAACAAACAAAAAAGAAATAAAATGTTAGACTGGGTGATTTAAAAAGAAAACAAAATTTATTGCTTACAGTTTTTGAGGCTGAGAAGTCCAAAGTCCATCTGGTGGTGGCAACAGTGACCCAGGGGTCTCACATCGCAAGATGGTGGAAGCAGAGAGAGCAGAGAGAGTAAGACAGACTCTCCTCTTTTTTTAAAGCCCTCAGAACCATGCCCCTGATCACCATTTTTAATGCATTCACTACTGCACAGTCCTACAATCCAATCACCTCTTCAGGGCTCCACCTTTTGATTACCATAATAGGATTTCTGACCCTCTTAACAGTCACAGTGGGGGCTAAGTGTCTAATACATAAAACTTGGGGGACACAATTCAAGCTTCAGGGAGTTTTGGGGAGACATAATTCAATCCACTACATAAACCAACCTTGAATTCCTGGGGTAAACTCCAACTTAGTCTTGGTTTATTTTACTTTTTTTTTTTTAAGATGGTGAGGGGATCTTAACCCTTGGCTTGGTGTTGTCAGCACCATGCTCACCGAAGTGAGCCAACCAGCCATCCATATATAGGATCCGAACCCATGGCCTTGGTGTTCTCAGCACCACACTTTCCCAAGTGAGCCACGGGCTGGCCTTTATTTTCCTTTTTTTTTTTTTTCTCTTTTTTCGTGTCCGGCAACGGATCGCAACCCTCAGTGTCACGCCCGTACCGGACCGGGACCGGCAACGGGATCGCAACCCTCGGTGTCGCGCCCGCACCTCGCTCAGCAAGTGAGCGGGAACCGGTCTGTATGTGGGATCCGAACCCTCGGTGGGAGCGCCGCTGCGCTC